TTCTTGGTCACCATCCTGTGAAATAATAAGTTTGACATATAAATATTATCAACATACTTGGAATCTCACAAATTTTCTTGGATAAAGAGCATATAGAATAAAAATCAAAGTTAATGTCAACAGTGTACTACACTGAAAGGGACAAGATAAGATTTTTAAAAATGGAGCTGCAATTCATCTTTTTCAGAACTGCAAGCATGAAAAACCATTTCAAAATGTCAAATTCCATCACAAGCACAAATCCAGAAGCATTTTCCAAATAAAAACAAAATTAAATATATTCTTTTCTTTGAATGATGCTATCAATTTAACCAACTCTACTTTTTTTCTTGTGGAAAATGATATATATATATACGCTTGTATTATTAATCTTTATATCATTTATATTAGCAAAATACATTATACTCTTTCAGATTCTTTAACCTTAAAGGGAAAAAACTTTTTTACATCCATTTTAAAACTCTAAACTTCTTTAAAAATATTTATAAAATCAATAAATTCTAATACATCTTTTTTTAACTTCATCTTAGCATACTTTCAGATATACTTTCAATAATATTTTACAAGCTTTAGTAATTACTCAAGCATTATATATAAAGAAAAAATCTTTGATTTTGCTTTTACTGATTAAGATAGGTTCATTGTTATAGAAATGGCTAGTATATATTATGGTATAAAAGTAAAAAGTTGAGGCTATGTTTATTTTCTTCTACTATGCTAAAGAGTCGGAAGTCAACACCTTTTCTCTTTTTTCCCTTCTACTTCACATTCTTTTTTCCGCTAGTTTCCTGTTATTTTCATTTTTCTTTGTATTTTATATACTGATATACTATTTAAAAAGTTTAATACCAAATTGTCAAAAGTTTTTTCCACATCAAGAAAAATAATGGCCATTTCTGTTTGTTTGTTTTTTAAATCTTATCAACAGCAGAATATATCTAATATTGTATCTCATTCATTTTTTAAATTCATCTGATCTGGGCAAGATATATAAGTTTTATTAAAAAGTCACTTATTTTCTTTGAGTGTTTTGCAATAAAGAAGTTACAATGTAAGTTTGCTAAAGAAATACTTCTTTTGATTATTTGGGGGAGTCAAATCTTTCTAAATCAACATAAATCAATTTTGTGGGAAGTTTTTCATGCTTCTGAATTTCTTGATTTAAAAATTTAGCCAAAATTTCTTGAAAATTTCCTATAATATATTCTAGAAATACCATAAGATGGTACTTAAACTTCAGATTTTAATTGACTGTTTCTCTCATTTGCAATTGTAGATTAATTGAAATATCTGAATATCAGTAGCTCGAGTTGGTAGTTACAGTATGTTGTTGGTTTAAGCTCTGAGCTTGGCAATTTGGTTGCAAACGTTTCATCCCCATTCGAGGAGACATCTTCAGTGCGCTTTAGATTGTGCTTGTCTGGGGGAGCACTGGCCTTTAAATACCTGAGTCCTAGTCTGATTTCGGGTTGTGTAATTAGCTGGCTGTAGTTGCTGAGTCAAAGTCCTTGGCTTTAAGTAATGTCTATGTGATGCAAATTAGTGCTGGTGTTGTTCAGATGTCTTCGGATGATGTCATGGTCTGGTTTTGGGCTGATTTGATCGGCTACATGTGATGTGGTCTGATTTCTTGTGATCTGTCGAGTTATAACTTTGTTTGCAGCATGGCTGTTTGCTGGTCTTTAAATGCTGCCTTTGGGATCATGGTTGATGTTGTTCTTTCATTCTAAGTGGTTGGTAGATTGGGTCGATATCAATGTATTTGTATAAGGACCAGACTCTCTCCCCTTCAGATGATAAGAATGAACTTTTGAAAACGGGGTTTAAAGAATTTATTGAAAAGGAAGACAGCAAGTCAAATTCAAAGCAGGGTCTGATATCCCTCCAGGCATGCAGGTTAGATAAAGGGAGTTAGTGGATTTTGTCAATACCAAGAAGCAACATATTAATCCCCCCCCCCTCTTTTCTGGGAACGTAGTTGAAAAGAGATTCCCAGGAAGTATCTTTCAGAGCTGGATTTTTTTATGGCCCCTTCTCCTCTTGCTATCTCTCCAAGAGGTGAAAAGTTTGCAGACGGGGGGGGGAGGGGGGTTGTCCAGTCCACAGTTTTAAATCAACACAAGAGTTATGATATTCATGTTACATCAAAAATGATTACTTGTATCCACCCCCGCCCCTTCTTCTTCCATTGCAGAATGGCAGATACACGGATCTGACATATTGCCCTCCTCAAAAAAATGAAAAATCCACCTGGAAGACATAAAACATGTGTTACATTTACAATTTAGGATGGTTTATGAGAGTATTTCAGGTGAAACTTTCATGGAAATGTGGGGGCTTTTTCATGTTGTTTGGCTACCCACTCATTTTGTGAGGAGGGAAGATGTTTCCAAGCTACTAAATATTGTGTGGATCCACGGTGGGTGCGCGAGTTAAGGATAGCTTTAATTTTAAAATGTTGTTCCCCATGTACCATAATGGGAATTGGGGGTGTGGGAAAGGGGGGGGGTCTAATTTTTGAAATGATCTCTGGTTTGAGTAGGCTGCAGTGAAATACTGGATGAACCTGCCTAAGTGTCTTGGGGAGTAGGACTCTACGGTAATAGGGTTGATGATTCTGGAGATGGAAAATGGGCTAATGAATTTAGGTCCCAGTTTCTTAGAGGGTTGTAATGATTTTAGGAACTTTGTAAATAAATATAAGCAGTTCCCAAATTTGAACGGTTTAGGTTCACAATGTTTTTTGTCAACTTGGGCTTTAAAAGCTGTTCTAGCCTCATGTAAGGCTAGTCTGACCACTGGCCAAGTGGTTTGCAAATTATTTATCCACTCCTTGAGGGAGGGAATTTCAGGTTCCTTAGTAGGTAGCTCTGGCATGGGGTTGAATTCTTGTCCTGTGGCTACCTGGAATGGGGTTAAACCAGTGTGCTGTGGACCGAGTTGTTGTATGCTACTTCTGCAAAAGGAAGGTCAGTCCAATTGTAATTGGTAATTAATAAAGTATCTTAAATATTGTTCTAATACGCTATTGGCTCTCTCGATCGAGCCATTAGTTTCCGGATGATTGGTTGAGGACAACCCCTGGGTGGAGCCTAATAGGTTTAAAAACGCCCACCAAAATGTGGATGTGAATTGTACAGCCCTATCTGAGATAATCCGTTGGGGAGCTCCATGGAGCTGATAAATGTGTATTAAAAACATCTTTGCCAATGCCTTGGCTGTTGGGATCTTTTGGCAGGGTATAAAATGAACCTGTTTTGAAAAAAGGTCCATTACAACCCAAATAACAGTGTTTCCTGAACTTTACAGGAACTCCACTATAAAGTCCATAGAGATCTCTATCCAGGGTGCTGAAGGTTCTGCTACCATTTGTAGAAGTCCAGGGGATTTCCCTTGTCTTCTTTTTGAAGCCGCGCAGATAGGGCAACTAGAAACATAGCTTTCAATGTCTTTTTTGAGAGATGGCCACCAAAATTGTCTTTTGATGAGGTGCAGAGTTTTTACAAACCAAAGTGTCCCGCTATTTTTGAGTCATGGCATTGTTTCATGAGGTCCATCCTCTGGCTGGCAGGGACGTAAAGTTTGTTTTCTACCCAGGCTAGACCATCTTTGAGTAAGCAAATGTTTTTGTTAGCCTGGAGCCAGTCATCCATAAGTAGTGCCTCCTTAAATATTGAAGTCATTGCATTGTCAGTCAATGGTTCTTTCTTCTCTTGTGCTCGGGTGATTACTTTGGTAGCAAGTTGGGTTGGTTGGATCATGGGTTTTACAATTTCAATCTTTTTGCTGTTATATTGGGGTTTCCTGGAAAGGGCATCTGCCAAGAAGTTTTTTCCCCCCTGGGAGATATTTGAGAGTGAAATTAAAATGTTTAAAATATTGTGCCCACCTTACGTGTTTCGGTGAGACTCTCTGTGGATTTTTCAGGGCTTCTAGATTTTTATGATCAGTCCAGACTTCAAAGGGGATTTTGTTCCCTTCTAGGAAGTGTCTCCATGTGAAGAGCGCCCATCATACAAGCGTATGCCTCTTTCTCCCATATGGCCCATCTTTGCTCAGTTTCTGTTAATTCTTGGAAGTATAAGCACATGATTACAACTGTCCATGTTCATTCTTTTGGAGGACTGCTCCTACTGCTACATCGCTAGGGTCCGCTTGGATGACAGATGGTTGCTCTGGGTCTTGGTGTTTCAAGATTGGTTCTGCTGAGAATAGTTCTTTAAATTTTTCGAACACTTGGCATTCCATCGTCCAGTTAAGGGGTTGGCTTCAGTTCCCATTCCCCTTTTGTTTTCAACAAGCTCGTGATGGGAGGGTGATATTTGCAAAAGCCAAAATGAACTGACAGTAAAAGTTTGCAAAACCCAGGAAGCTTTGTAGTTGTTTGCAATTTGGAGCGGCTCCAGGGGTGAGATTCAAATTTCTTAATAACCAGTTATATGGGCGTGGCCTAATTTGTGGGTGTGACTTGGTGGTCATGTGACTGGGGTGGGAGTGGCTTGCTGACTGGGCATGGCTAGGTGGTCATGTGACTGGGGTGGGTGTGGCCAGGTGGCCATGTGACTGGTAAACCAAATGTAAGTGGTTCTCGCTTAATGACCAGGTCCTCACTTAATGGCCAGTTGCTTAGCAAGTGTTTTTTGCAAGTTTCCAAGGCCTGGGGAGCCCTGGAGAGGGCAGGGTGAGGCCCGGGCATGTGGCCATATGACTGGCAAACCAAATGTAAGTGGTCCTCGCTTAATGGCCAGTTGCTTGGCAAGTGTTCTAATTTACAACTGACCTCTACAGAGCTACTTGGCCTGTTTTTGGTGTTTTGACAGTGACACACACACACATACACATACACACACACACACCCTTCTAACCCTGCTATTTTTTGATGCTGTAAGGATTTCCTGCTGGGGCAGCGGATTGGACTAGATGACCTCCGAGATCCCTTGCAGGCCAGCTCTAGATTGCTATGCTGCTTCAAAGTCTTCTGAAGCCAGGGTTTATGTCCTTTCTTCCTCTCCTTT